AGATAGAAAAACAAGTACCTGGCATTCAACTAGAGTGCCACCTGACTGCACCAAATCATCGACGATGACAACATGACGTCCTTTGGGATCTCCCTCCTTCAGGCGTACTATCCGCTGGTCACCTTCCCGAACTTTAGCACATACAATCTAAAAAATTAAGGTTAGATGGGTTAATAGCTTACATAAAACACAAAAGAATGACTCCACTGAGATAATGGCATGATGAAGCTGAAGCATATTAGTAATCTTATAAAGAAGATGGTGGTTTCTGATAAGTTCCATACTAGCTTTCCAGATCATTAACAACGAGAAATAGTTGCAGTGCAGTCACCACTTCCAATTGTTTTCACTAAATGATAAATACCAATCTAACATTAAAAAGATCACATCTCCCTAGTTTGGAGAAAACACATAACCAACTCCACATCTGCACACAAAACTTTAATTTATGATTCAGCTGTCTCTATGAAACCTGTAGGCACATGGCAATATAAACTAAACAACCAACTAACATGATGATATTGAGATCAAAAGAGTGGAATCCAACTGCAGTTGGAATTATTGGTCAACTTAACAAGACCACGTCCACATACAACCAGAAACTGATTCCATGCAGGGAATGTGTCGATGCCATTTCCGTCTGATTAAAAAACTATCAATTGCAAAATGTTTCTTCATTAGAAAACTCTGGAAGAGATTAAATAGCCCGAGTAGCTAAATATTTCCACTACTTAGAATACCATATATCTGCCAAGTAACTAGCAATACAAGAAAATAGGACATGACATACTATCAAGAGTCTATCATATACGGTGGACACAGTATATTTAGCAGTATATATGCATACCGTTGGAAAATGCTGCAGTTGCTTATGAAACCTCTTCCATGAACCATCATCCGGAAAAGCAATAGATATCTGGTCCTCAATAAACCAGCATAAATTGTCAGAAATCACATGAATGGTCAGAAAATGTTCGGGCGAAGCTTAAAACTAGAACATTTAGTAATTCATCTCATGTTTGCCACTGTTGTCTGAAACCATAGAAATGAACACCAAATGACAAAGACCAGCAAGAGTAATGCTGCCAACTCTAAGTTGGGATACGGTAATGTTTAGATCTCAAGACATACTATAGTTACCTCTCGGTTTCCCTAATGAAAATACTAAATACATAAATGATCTTCGTAAGCAGATAAATTCTTCATGAAAAGAAGAAGAACAAGTACATATCTTCCAAGCCAACAAATAGATATCTCACATTGTCAGAGTCCGGAAGCTGCTGGAGACGATTCTTAAGCAATGGTATCCCACTCTCAAAACATGGTAAAATGTTATCTCCAAAGTAAAATCTTTCCTGTGAAGATCCATGAAAGAAAATAAGGAAAATGGTACTCAGCACGAAGAGATCGAATGACATAAAATGTCATCCGCTGAATGTGCTCATGGATGTTTGCATGCTCTGTGATATTGATGCATGAAAAAGGGCATTTGCACCAGCATAAACGAACCGGCAAGGCATGGATGTCGAAAATCACTAAGTTAGTAGGTCCACCCCTCGAGATCGGAACGTTGGACAAGATCCTTGCGAGAGTAAAAGCCGTCGCAACGTCGCCCTCGTCCTCCATGCGCTCGGACGTGCCCGTCGGGAAGAAGGGCAGCACGAGCGTGAAGGAAGAGACGAACAACTTCGGCAGCGCGTAAATGATGGAGAGCTGCTCGAAGATCACGCCCGGGGAACTGAAAGAGGCCAGGAAAGCGACATGTTGTCCCCGAATTCCATGAGCATTGGGTATGAACAGGTCGGGGAATCCATCAGCAAACTTCCTGAAGAAACAGACATAGAATGAATCAAAACTCTCAATCAAACAACAACTAGACTAGTCACATATGCATATGACCACCCCCCCAAACCAATTAAAAGTAATTCACTAAAGCTGTAAGCTTTCACAAAGATGGCAGGAACAGAACTAGTAACCAAGTAATACAAGACAACAGCAATTTTATATCTTTTTCAAATAGTAGAAGATCATTACGAAGCTGGACCGATGCCAGGAGACAGTTTACTTGTAGCGCTGCGACGTCTACGAACAACACTGCTTCCATGATCTCACAAAGACAACCCTCGCTCTTCACACAAAAAACAAAGGGGGAAAAAAACAAGAACGCTCTGCATTCTCCATCCTCTCACATAAACAATGGTGGAGAGATGCGACATTGCTGGCCAGACTCCACCGAGTACATATCTCCGCCATTAAAACGAATCCATCAACCAACATTGCTCGAAATCCGGCATGCCGATCATCAAGCGCGAAAGAATTCGGAAAGAAAACAGCTAAGAAGAACGAACTCTCGTCAATTCAATTGCTCGTTGGACATCGAAGACGCGTACCTCCAGTTGATGCTGCGGAGCTCGATGGCGTCGGATTGAGCGGCAGCGGCGACTCGCTCCGCCAGCGGCTTCGTCTCCGCGCAGTAGAAGAGGCACACCTTCTTCGAGCTCCCGCAGGGCGGTTCCCGCGCGCTCGCCGCCATCGGCGCCGGAGAAGCGGTCAGGGAGCTCGGGGGGGCGTGGAAGATGCGGATCGGATCCGGGGCGGGGAAGCGATCGACGGTGGTCCAGTTCTGGGAGTGGTCAAAGCTCTTGACCTCGCACCTGCTCGAGCAGCCGAGCTTGTAGCTCGGAAACGGCTCGCGTGGAGGCGGCGGCCTTGAGGAGGAGGAGGAAGAGTTCAGGGACTTGGCGCCAGGAATTCGGAGCGGCGGGGGAAGCGGCGGCGCGGCCGCCATGTGTGCGAGAGCGACGGCGGCGGTGAGGGGCGGCGTGTGTTTCTGTTGTTTACCGCCGCGGCGACGGCTTCGTGTACGGCTTTCTGGTTTGGACTTTTGTCCGTAGTTGAAGATTGAGATGGCTGTCTTCCCAAAATACCCCTGCCTCATTTGGAAAAGTGGGATAACGGCACAAATTAGTTCACGAAGGTTGGTCGAATATGCAACGTCATATCTAAACTTTTAATTTATGTAATATGATCCCTAAACTTCAGACCGATATGTAATATCACCCCTAAATTTTAATTTATTTCACATGATCCATGAATTGTTAGTAAATATTCAATATGGTCCCTACAATATGTTAAAATGTTTAAAAATTTATGAAATACATTGAGCGTTGAATCAAAGTTCGGGGATCGGCTTGCAATTAAAAGTTAAGTAGACCAGCATTGCGTATTAAATCAAAGTTTAGGATTCTTATTGAACAAATTAAAAGTTCATTGACGACATTTCGGGCATCATTTTGTGTTATTTTGCCTCATAAAATCACATCCTCGTGGTCAAATCCAATCTTCTTGATCCGGAAAGTAACGGATGTGATGAAGGATGTGAACGCAATCCAATATCCTTATTCAACCTACCATAGAATCAGACAAAAATCAAGAATTACCAAATCAAGTGCTTAAATATGAAGCAATTATCATGCAAGAGAATATGTTCAAAATGATGGAAATATCATGACGAGTGATGCAGTAGAAAATGGAAAGAACAATCTTCAGGCAAGAATTCTTGGTATATGGTTAAATTCTGTGTTTTAAATTAGGGATGATCATTAGGTAGGTTCAGATTAGGAATCGAAATCTATCATCTTAGAGCCGGTTCAGTTTTTGAGGTGAACAACGATCGGTCCTTAAACCAAAAACCCCCGGACTCATCGCATGCATTACATGGTCGACACGGGCCCGGACTACTTTTTATTTATTTGTTATTTGATGATCGTATCAATAACAAAGTTGATAATACCTAGAAGTGATCAATTCTCACTCGATTTCCGGTCCGATGGAACCGGTCACTTTTTTTTCCCACTACTTGATGCCATCTTTCGTGTTGACTTAAGTGATACGTATTCAATGATCCTCAAATTGAAAAGACAAATTAAAAAATGTGCTTTACTTAGGGTTTAGTTTACATTTTACTAATATTTTGAAAAAATAATAAAATATATATAATCGGTCCTCGTGGTCAAATCCAATCTTCTTGATCCGGAAAGTAACGGATGTGACGAAGGATGTGAACGCAATCCAATATCCTAATAATACCCACTTATTGCAATAACCTATTTATATCCATTTAACACTCTAAAAGGCTACAAAAATATGATGATTCATGAAAAATCAAACAAATTAGCTCTAAGTTTATTTAGAGACCAATGAAATCAATTGCATAAACTTTTAATTAATTGATTCGATAAAGTTCTCTTCACTAGATTTGCAAGTCGATTATGAGTTTCCAACATTTCTTTACACTAACGAATAGCTTATTTATCATGTTTTTATTTTCTTATATATACATCTTTCTAATGATTTAATTAACTTTATCATTGGAAATAATTTAATCGTGTTTGTCATTAATTCTAAACAAACATGGCAATGCTAACGGCGGTTACAACAGTAACCACATATTTATTTCAATTTTTTTTAACTAATACTACACATGGTATAAATCAATAATCGAAATATAAAATTTTCTTCGTATAATTGATGGCAAAAGAAAATTTTGTAGTATAATTGGAAATATTGCATTCTCGTTATTACGGACAGTTTAATATATTATATAGATAGATAAGTAAAGTGAGAATCAGATATTTCTAGTCTTTGAAATTGAAGTTGAAGCTTAACGGGAAAAAAGTTTATGAATTGCTCAAGCTAAAATTTAAATTTATTCACAAGTAAAAGTTGGTCAATTATGTGCAAAATGTTTGTTAGGTTGGTAATTCCCCAACGATGAATTTATGTTGGTAAATAACATAGATTACTATCCATATACCTAAACGAAGAAAAGTTCAACATTTTGACATTATAACTCTAAAACATCATTACATTCTTCGTAATGTTGGCAACTTAAAATATTGTCAACTTTATTGTGAAATTTGCAAGAGGTTACTAATATATTAATTTGATATTGGTAAATTAATTACATTGCCGGAAACTTACAAACCCCACTTGGAAAATTGTAAAGGGTATGTAATTACTAATTTATTTGGACTTTGATAAGAAAAGGAAACAAAATGCGATTTTGAATGGCTAGAAAATAGAATCGAACCACATTTGTGGAACAATAACATTATACTAAAGCCCCCTACAAAATGAACACCTAGTCACAAAAAGCCATATGCAAATATTGAAGAACGATAAGACTGATTCAGTCGGGATGCCTGTGCCACAAGAAATCACGGATCCGCTCATTAGTTGTGATGGAACCGGCTTGGATCGTGCATCGAAACCGACACAGCCGATCTCCGGTAGAAGAAAAGGTTCCATCGGATCAATTATTTAGCTTAGGACAACCTTGTCGCCGTCACGGTACTAGGAATTGGAATCCTAGACTAAACACCAGAACTTTTCAAGGACACTCGATTCATTCACAAAATCGAGGAACATAACCAGTCCTTCCCTAAGTAGCATCAACGATACGAAACGCAATTCGAGATACAAGATCACATCGCATTTAGGTGGCTTCAAGATGCTCAGAAAGCCTTACTCACACAAAGGAAGCTAGGTGTCATAAAACTTTAGGCTTGTTAGCGTAGATCTCCCTCGGTTCCAGCATGTCAGGGCAATATCGTTCCGAGAGAATTTCCACCTGCTCAGGAAATGGCTTGATCCAGTAATTGCCAATGTATTTGACCATTTGGTACCACCGCTTTCGACATAATTCCCCAGATTTACCCTCGATGAGTCTGTCCCAGTCTACATCTTCCATCGCGCAAGCATCCAGATCAACAAGAGCGCTGAGCAACCGATAGTCATCGGTATCCGCCCAACTGCCTTCGGCTACCATAGAAGATGTCAATTGCTTGTACCACTTTTCGCAACAAACGGCATGATTGCGAGAGCCCAAACTGTCGCTTATAGCCCCCCAGGCAATATTGTCAAGGAGCATGCCGTGCTTCGACTTTCTCTCCTCAGTGGCTTTCATACGTAGGTCCATGTTTACTAGATCAAATAGTCTCTGGTACTCCTCCTGGGACCAAGGTCCTTTCTTAAATGGGAGTTTTATTCTTCGCCAGGTATCCTTCACATGGAACCTGTGTCTACCAAGAGCATCAGCCAACTTCCTCCAATCTGACCCATGTTGTTCGTGAAACTTGCGAACAAGCTCGCATTCTTCAGGAGTCCAAGTACGATTCTCACTTCTTTCAAATAGCAGATGAGCTCGATGATAGACACTTTCGGTAGGCCTCCAAGGTAAATTTGCGCCTATTTCCTTCCAACAATTTCTGGCCTCGCGATGGCTTCCACAGTTGAGTACCATCTTCAAGCCATCTTCACCTAAGTCGTGAGCTTCTATATATTTGTAAACAGCCTGTTTGACTAGCTCATCTTCTTCTTTCGAGAATTTCTTACCCCGCACAAGGTTTCGTTCCTTGCTACTATCTTCCTCACGATCCTTGCTACTATCTTCCTCACTCGGACCATCTAAGGGAGGAAAAACCTCAACATTTTCAGCAAAACTTACTCTCTTTGGTTTCTTTTTTCGATCTTTTCCTTCAATACCATCTTTTGCAGCCTTCTCCTTCTTGCGCTTCCTATCTTTCGCTAGCTTCTTCTCTTCACTCCCCATAGTGTCATTCTTAGAAAGAGCATCAACTTCAGATTCCATGTACTTCTTATCTAGATTTCCACTTGCTATATCACCCTGTTCCTCAATCCGTTTCTTTTTCTTTCTCTTGCTCCTCTCCTTCTCATGGACATCCTTTTTCTCTATCACCGCATCAGAAGATCCACCTGCTTCCTCCATCTTTTGGTTATCCCCGACAGGATCACCATCCCTGCTCCCCTTTTTCTTCTTTTTCTTCTTTATACTGACTTCATCTGTATCTTTTATTTCCTCGATGTTCTTGCCTAAAGACTTGTTCTGCTCCTGAACTCCTGCACTGGGTTTGTCGTCTGCCAAATGCTTAGTTGCTGAGAAAGCTGCATCTATGTCATCCATCTTCTTAACCTCTTTGTGCTTCTTATTCTTCTCCTTCTTATTCTTATCCCCAACAGGATCACCATCCCTGCTCCCCTTTTTCTTCTTTTTCTTCTCTATACTGACTTCATCTGTATATTTTATTTCCTCGATGTTCTTGCCCAAAGACTTGTTCAGCTCCTGAACTCCCGCATCAGGTTTGTCGTCTGCAAAATGCTTAGTTGCTGAGAAAGCCGCATCTGTGTCATCCATCTTCCTCACCTCCTTGTGCTTCTTATTCTTGTCCCTCTTTGTTTGGATTTGCAGTCTTTCTTCCTTGTTTTCGAAGCCACCATGACTCATGTGCCCATCTCCATATTCTCCAATCTGGGGGACGTTTGAGATGCTCTTAGCTCCACTGTTTTCACTGCCCTCGCTAAGTCTACTTCCCTTCCTCACCGCCTTCTCAAGTTCCTTCTCGTCCAGGCCTTCTTCTCGCTTCTTCTTCTTCTTCTTCTTCTCGTTTTCATCACCAACAGAACCCTTCACATTTTCTGCTACAAATTCACTTCCACCGTCACGGACCTCCCTCTTGGTCTTGCTCTTCTTCTTATCTCGATCGACCTCATCAACACCATTCTCAACTCCATCCCCTGCGCCGACCTCGCGGCGACCAACATCCATCGCGACATTGACCCGACCCTCCTCAATTCTCCCTCTCTTCTCCTCCTTTCCTCCCATTCTCGCACTGGGCACCCCCAGTTTCAACCCAACGCCTCGCAAGCACCGCCACTATCTCCCCTCTATCAACTCGCGGCGAAACAAATCTGGAAAAAGGCGCAACGCACGGGAACAACAGTAAGATCTTTTTCCAGCTACATGGTAACTCACGGAAGTATTAAAAATCTGAAGATGGGTCAATCATGCCATAAAGCACCGGCACAGCAAGCCCGATCAGTTCGTGGACGAGAGCAAGCGCACAGCGATGCGCACGAGCATAGATTTCAAGAAACGTGCGACCCACGATTCCACACGCACGCACGGAGGGAGAGAGACTCGCCTCGAGTCGACGGGGAGCCACCGGCGGCGAGGATTCGAGGGCGAGCTGGGGCCGGCGACGGGGAGTGACCGGCGACGACTCGGCGAGCTGCTGAAAACGAGAGAGGCGGAGGTCGGGGCCAGGGGCGGCGGTCGGGGCCGGGGCCGGATGTTAGGGTTTTTCAATTTTAGTATTTTCTCTTTAATTTTTCTCTCATTTTATATATAACGAGTTTTTTTTTTTTTGGTCAGCATATATAACGAGTTATCTACTCATCATTATAGACGGCGTTAAAAGAAAATTTATGTGAAAAAAAGGATTTTTAAAGTAAAATTAGCCCAAAAAAAAAGTGTAGCAAGCCACAAGCAAAAGAAGTTAAGATAATGATACACTTATTTGTATTTAAGATTTAAATTTCCCAATAAAAGGTTTCATTAAAAATAAATAAACGTGAAATTACGTAAAGAGATTAATATTGAAAATTTTAATTAACATAAATATACCTCCGAAAGAAGTAAAAGTGAAAATTGGAAATAAGTTATTTACTTTTCAAGAGAAATTGATAAGCGAATAAGTGGATGAATGAATTTCGAAAAAACTCATAATGTAGAGTGAACTATGCAAATTTTGAAGTTTCAAAAAGCATTTGAACCGCGGAAGAAGCAACGAGAAACGTCCCTTGTGTCAATTGGGAAATTCTCATGTCAGTATAATGTGGACAACATTCTTATTACTTCTACTAATGCTCATACATATATGAATTGATGATCATTGACATGAATTTGTCTTTCAGAGCTAAGTAGAGTCTTAAGTCTTGCCAACCGGGGATTGTCATATCACGACGCTTTGGTTCTTAGGACATTTTTCAAATCCTAAATTCGAGTTGGCTACACACTAATTAAGTAAATGGAAAAATAGAAATGAGTCTCATCAATCGATTTGATTACCTAGGTCAATTGGACACCTAGCATACCTAAGCAGCTTTAGGGAAAATAAACTACCTAGGTGGCAGGTGCAAAGTGAGTGGTCTAAGGTCCCGCCGTTCGGATTGGGAATCGCCTAGGCCTCGAAAGCCCCTTCCCAAAATGCCGAACCGTTTGGCTTCTGCTTTCCGAGTCCGAAAGTCGAAAGCCGCATTTGAAATGCCATTGGAATGCCGAAAACCCAAAAATGATTCGATCAACTTTGGGCTTTCAACTATATATATAATATAAGCCTATTTTTCCTTCCCAAATTGCCCTCACTCAAATTTTCATTTTCGGGTTTGCCTCACTGATTTCATCTTCTTCACCATTGAGTGCTTAAATATCTCGCATTCTTTCTTTTCATTCATATTTTCCTTTTATTCCTCGTTTGTTGACCAACATTTCCCATTATCTTTCAAAGAGAAAATCCCGTTCTGTATGCTTTTTCCCTCACGACCAAATTCCCTTTGCCAATTTGCTGTAAAAAAAAAATGGAGACAATCTCCTTTGCTTCCCTTCACTGCCGCATTTGTTGCCCCTTTTTACGTAATTTGGAGGAAGAAGATGAATAATAATAGGGGCAAACCGGAATATTAAGAAAAAAAATTGAAGAGGCCTTTGCAAAAAAATTTACCAAACACTACTTAGGCCAAAGTAGCTTCACAAATTTTTTACCCTTTTTTCTTTATTAATTTCATTTTCATGCTAAAGGTATTTACATTCCCCCAAGTTGTATTTAAAAAACCGAACCAAACAGGCCCTAAGTGCGAGAACCTAAGGCTGAGGTCTGAGGGATCTGTTACGTGAGGGACAGATTAGCATCCCATGGCGCCATTTTGATGCTACAAGTTCTCAATTTAGGCCTAATACGAATTTATTGTGCATTTTGTTTAAGAAAAAATTTTGATAATCGCATTTGGCCGATATGCTATTAGGTGGAAAGATTGCATGATTTTGCATATCAAGTGACCCCATCGTATGTGAACGTGTATTTGTATGGTATGACATGGAAATAGATATCGAATGAGACAGGATTGAATGACTTAGAAGTTGAAATCGAAATCACGAATGTAATTTTTTTGAAATATGTGTGGAGTCACGTTTTAAAATTGAATTTATAAATGATGCTTTGGATACAATTTTTCGACACAGCACTTCATTCAGATCTAAGATTTAAAACAGTCATCACAACGGCCTATAAACACTCACAATTTCTTAAAAGCATGACCAGGTGTATTTATAGGCCTGCTTGACCACCTCTAGGAGAGGCAAGCCTGCCTCATCTTGAACCGTGCTCAAGGGGCTCCCTTGAAGTCGAGACTCGCTTTTTCTAAGCCCATATCTCCCTCCTCTGACACCCGGTTCGCGTGATTTTCCAACTGTCGGAATGTTCGTCTCAAGGGCTTTCCAAAAAGCCAAAATATCGCTAGAACATATCAAGAAATCCCAAGCTCAAGATTTCAAGCCATATAGGGGTCTAAGGCTCGGATCTATAAACCGGGCATCATTTCTATGACTTGAAAATCAGTATTTACATAACCTAAGGGTTTGGAAAGTTTTATTTGATTATGAGACCTCTAGATACGGTTTTAGGCTCAGCAATATTTCTTTCGAGTATTGGAAGGTGTGACTGAAATTCCTTTGGCGAATACTTCCTCATCGGACATCCGTTTCGACCCGACTTTAATTGTGTTGGGATGCTTACCATCCTTAGTTCCAAAATATGCAATCGAAATCGGGAAATTTCCCAACATTTCGAAAAGCGACTGATAGCTCCCTAAGTCAAAGAGTACTAGCCGAAGATCTTGATTATAAGCTGTTGAGGCTAATAATATAATCTAAAGCGGGGGTGAATATGTTGATTTAAAAACTTTTGTGATAATAAAATATTTGAATCAAACAAAACGCGAAGGATATGTCTACCATTGGAGCCTGTAAGATAACTCGATCCAAGTAGGTTTTCCTAAAAGGTTTTTGAGTAGATTTCCTAGTTTGATTAGTTTCTTAGTTTGAATGGATTTTCCTAAAAAAAATGCTGGCTTTTTTGGATTAATATTACCTATATTGCTTTGGGTGTAATTGAGGATTGAGAAAAGTAACCCTATTATCTCCGGTTTCATATTTGATTTCTTGGCAGCTAGCTCACTTAGGGCCTGTTTGGTAACCATTATGTTCTCGAAAATAATTTCTGCTTAGAAATGATTTTTTTTTATTTTGTTCCCGAAAATAATTTCTAAGCATTTTGAAGGCGTTCGGTAACGGCCCAAAATTTTCATTCTTGGAATAGAAAAAAAACAGAAATGCGTTTTGGTGACTGCACAAAATTTCTTTTTATTAATAATACTTTAATGATATTTTTAAATATTTTAATATTTCTTTCTCTCTCTTTTTTTTTTCTTCTTCTTCTCCTTCTTGGCCATGGCCGGCGACCAGCCAAAGGCAAGGGCGGCCCTCGCCAGCCTTTTCTAGCCCTCGCCCAAGCCAAAAAGGGTCGCCATCGAGGCTCGTGACCTGGGCAAGGCCGCCCTCGCCAGATTCAGCGAGGGCTGGACCCTCATCGCCACCCTCACATAGGTCGTGAGCCTTGATGGCGGCTCTATTAGAAATTGAACTCAAGGGTGTCGGGACTTATCTCACAAAGTGTAACAGCCTCGAAAGCATCAAAATCGCGACCAAATCGAGAGAATTCCTGGGGAGTGTCGAAAGGACCTGGACATCCAATCCTCTCGACACGAGAAAAAGAAATTAGAGGTATTTATAGGCCGCTCGGCGACCTCTGAAGAGGCGAGCCCGCCTCATGGTTGAATTCAACATTGCCTATGAAAGAAGAAGAACATGAAAGAAGAAAACGAAAAAAAAAAATCTCTTCTATTTCTGATTCTTGTTCCTAGAATTAAGGAGTAACTTTTTTTCACTTCTCAATTCTATTGCAAATCTATTCCCTAACCACTTTTTTTGTTCCGAGGAACAAAAAAATTGACTGATGTTACCAAATGGATTTTTATTCTTTTTTTTGTTTCGGGAATAAAAGAATGTATAATCAGAGAATCTAGAGCATTACTAAACAGCCCTTAGAGTTTTTTTTTTTTTGGTAATCAAGCGTCTAGAGATGGAAGAGAAGTTCAAGAGAGGGTCGAGTCACAGCAACGACAGTCGATCATTTGAGCTAATTTTCTTCTTAAAAAATATGATTATTAAGACTGGAGCGATGAATAATGTCATTGAATTACTTTCGCTAATAGGAAGATTCACTGTCGTTTAAGATTTTTGTCTGTTTATCTTAGGAATAATAAACATGCCCTTAGAATTCCTTGTTGATTTTTTCAATAATTTTCTTCTTCTTGAGTTCGATTTGAATTTTTTTAGCTTCCGCTTAATTTCTGAACTTTTTATACACATGTTCTATTTGATGTCTAAATTATATAAAAAAATCCAATGTTATCCCTCCATAAATTCAAGTTAACAGAATTTGCTGATTTAACTTTCAATCTAGTAAGTTTGAACGGTGGACAAAAAGATAACTTCAGACGTGGATTATCCACAAAAGATATTCAACTCAAATCAGAATATAATAGTTCTTTTAATATGTGCAATTTTGAAAGATGATTATCCATGTTATCAAAATAACATGGATTACTATATCCTGATTCAAGTTCAGTATCTTATGTGGATAATCCACGTGTGACGTTATTCCCATTTGAAAGTCAAATTAATGAATTCTTTTAACTTGAATTAATAGAAGGAGAATAACAGATATTTTCATATAGTCATGTATCGAAAGTTTAGAAACGATATTGTATAGTGAATCAAAATTCATGAATTATATTAAATAAATTAAAAATTCAGAGCGATATTGCATGTTATATCAAAGTTGAAGGATTTTTCCCCCCTCTTCTTACTTCACGTTTCGTTCCCTTCCCTATATAGACCTACCAACCTCCGACCCCCACTCATACGACTCATACGGGCCAAAGTTTTATTAATTTTCGCAAAAGCCAAGCCAAGTTAGGCCACAGTGTCGTCACGTTCCTCCGGGCCAAAGTTTTATTAATTTTCGCAAAAGCCAAGCCAAGTTAGGCCACAGTGTCGTCACGTTCCTCCGAAGCACCCGCGCGTCTGAACTCAAGACGACTGTGTGTCTGCTCCTGAGCCACGGAAATTGACCAGCGCCGAGAGAAAACCCCAGACGAGTCCAAATCGAGAGGTGGTGGGGTGGGGACCCTTTCGCAAGCCCCTCTCAGCGTCGTCGATGATCTTTCAGCAGATGGATGGAACCTCGCGAGCTTGAAGCTACGCCACACTCGTCGTTCGACGCTTTATCCCTTCGGAATTCTTGAATTTGGGGGCGTCGCCAAATAATCCCCATCTTACCTTATTTTCAGTGGCTCTCGTTCGATCCCCATTGCGGTTCGCGAGTGCCGCTGCCACACATGTTGTAGTACTACGCGCACGCTCCTTCGCTGCTTCCGCCTTATAATTTTTGCTTGTTCTCACCCAAGACAAAAAGACACAGATATGTTGTCAGGTGCCCCCAGAGAATAAAAAAAAAACAGGGCCTAAATAGCCTCTGCGTTTCGCAGTTGGAGTCCCAGTTGGAACCGGCTCCTTGCGTGGTCGAGTGGACTCGAAGTCAAGCTCGCGCAGGTAAATTTTTTCCCGCTCTGTGGGTGGGCGGGTGGGTGCGTGGGTGCCCGGATCAAATGCGCTCGTGGCTTGACGCAGATTGTTTCTTGTGATGAGAAATGAAGCTGTGGGAAATGGGTGTTGGTTCTTTTTGCCGACTCTTATTTGGGTCGATCGAGTTCACTTTGTCGAGTGATGATGATCTTGGTAATTAGTCATTGTTGGGTCATTAGTGTTTTGTGACTTGGGGTCATGATTTTTACTGATTGACGTTATTCCAACGTTTGATTCGATGGTCGGGGTCTCTGCTGCATGCAATCAAGTCTTGGTCGGGGCGTCGCGTAAGGGTGATCGGTTTTTGGTTCAGACTCCTTTTCTTTTCGCCGTATGCTTTTGCAAGTGCAATTGACAGGTGTCTCTGAGAAGTGAGAACCCCTTTGTCGAATTTGCAATTGTGATTTTCTGGTGGCGAGTCGATGATGAGTTCTCCGAAAATTTTGTCTTTATCTTGCTTTATTGTCTTTCGTGATTGTTCTCTCTCATTCTGAGCACTCGCTGCTTTGTCCTGATGCCCTGGTTCTTAATGACGTGTTCCAAGTGTTCTTGTTTGATTCTTGGCGATTCTTCTATGGTGTGTGCTGCATTTGCGCTCTTCCTGAGCCACAGTATGATACTTTGGCCAGCTCTTTCAAGAATTTGATGCGTTTTTCGATCTGAAGGTAAACTCTCTATTCGGGACTAGGTGTCTTTGTAGTGTCACTATATGATGAGCAGAATTCGTAAAATGGAGTGTCTTTTGCCAGGCTATTCCGTTGAATCTTCATACATTCGCTGTTCTTTGATGCTTTTGGGACTCTTTGCTAAAAACATCAATCTCAAAATTTTTCATACCATGCCAATTGCTGTCATTTCTGTCATTTATGACTCGAATTGAGTTGGGGAACAGTACTATTTCGGAAATCAAGATGGCGATTAAATTGGTGATACTTAGTTGAACGGGCTATGTATTTAAAGTGCAAAGCGTACTTACTGCCACGGGATAAGCTATTTTCAGGGGCTAGGATATCCTCTTTTCAAATTACTTAGCAAGCCTATGCAATTTTGGTCTTCCTGTGGTTTCTTAAAAACAAACTTTTCCGAGATTGCAATTCCAGTTTTTCATGCGGCGGATACTCATTAGAAATTGGTACTTTAATTCAGCAGTTTATTGAGGCCGGAACGTCATCATGGCACCGAGGGCACTGGACTATGAGTCACTGAATGAGAATGTGAAGAAAGTTCAGTATGCTGTTAGGGGTGAGCTGTATCTTCGTGCTTCAGAACTTCAGAAGGAAGGGAAGAAGGTATTACAGTTCGCTTGACTTAGTTTTGCTTTGAGATAATGTGCTTTTGTGATTTGCTGCACTATGCTGTCCGTAAGCTGATGCATCGAATTGGTAGCCGGTGAAATTTTGTGGTCGAGAGTTGTTTTAGGAATGTGAGTATCAAACTTTTTATTCATTCAGTTTGCCAGAGTGTTACTCTTTATCGTGGCCCTTTGGTTGAATGACAGTAACTCAGTCTGTTAAGTATCTTGGAGGAAAAAAAAAGACTTGTGTCTTTCTACATTATTTTGCTGATCTGTTCATTTGCAACTTTCACAGAAAAAAATTGATATTCACGTCATGGCCAAAAAAGACACCTACATTTTGTTGAAATACATATGCTATTTAAATCTCTATTTACGAAGGCATAAAACCATCTAGTTCTTCTCTTTCGTTTCCAATGTTACTGAAATTGGATTGAAAAAGTCATTACATATGTTTGGATGTTTCTCTCTCCAGCTACTTAATTACCGATTTTATCTCTGCAGATCATATTTACAAATGTTGGCAACCCCCATGCTCTAGGACAGAAACCATTGACTTTTCCTCGTCAGGTCGTGACTTGTCAATTCCATATCTTGCGGGACTCACCTGCACCATAACCTCATATGTTCTTTCCTTTTCCATTCTAACTAACCAAATATATTCATTATATCAGGTGGTTGCGTTGTGCCAAGCTCCATTTCTATTGGATGACCCAAATGTAGGATTGCTTTTCCCTGCAGATGCAATTGCAAGAGCCAAGCATTATCTCTCACTTACTACTGGTGGCTTAGGTGCTACTCTTGTTGTTTTGTTACAAGACCTCTGGAATCATAACTTTACCAGTCACCCGAGCATTGTTATCCACACTCTTACTTTTTGTCCATGCATCACTCTTCATTTTCACTCGTAATCCACTTCTTTATTGGCCTCATAACCTTAGTGGGAGGACCACCACTGGGTATATGTACTCAGGGTCTTCCCAAGTAGTCTCATCACCTCACAAATTCTTAGAGCTTTGCAGACTTAGTCATTCTCATGTGCTTACCTAGGTGCTTGTCTTTATTCCAAAAGAATCCCAAATTCTCAAAGGTTAAATGACCATGCTCCCAGTAACATAATCATGTCAATTGACACTCTCCACGAAATCTGCAATTATGCGTGTTTAATCTTTTCGATAGATTAATTACGTGGCCATTCGGTGGTGGTGCTTTGAAAGCGTATCATTATACTTTTCTTGCATTTTTGTTGCCATATTTAATTTAGGAAATTCTGTCATTATAACAAAATAAGGAGCTCTTATGGAGGGTCCCTTATGTCTCAGGTGCTTATAGTGATTCACGTGGTCTTCCGGGTGTTAGGAAGGAAGTGGCAGAGTTCATTGGAAGGCGTGATGGGTACCCAAGGTGATCCCAAAAGTCCTAAAGTATCACTACAGTGATTTCGTCATATCCCGGCTCCCAACAGAAGGGAACTCACCTTTTTTTAACTCTGATGGCAGTGACCCGGAGCTCATCTTTCTCACAGATGGCGCAAGCAAAGGTGTCATGCAGATCTTGAATACTATTATCCGTGGTGAAGGAGATGGGGTACCGTTTCGCCCTCATATTTGCTTATAAATGTTCCATTTTTTCCCTTTCCGGTGTTCTGCCCCTTTTCCCAAGCTACTTTCTTCTTTTACTTGATCTTAATCTTCTTTTTCTTCCTCTAATTATTGTAGTTAAATAATTAATTCAAGGGTGCCAGGGTTTATTTCCTTGGGAAAAATGTTCATTCTTATTTACGTGTCTCTCTTGCCAGGTTCTAGTGCCAGTCCCACAATATCCCCTCTATTCAGCTTCAATAGCTTTGTTCGGTGGTTCTCTTGTCCCGTATTATCTCGAGGAGACAGCAAATTGGGGTCTTGATGTAAATGATCTTCGGCAATCAGTTTCACGGGCCCGTGCCAATGGAATTACAGTAAATACTCTTTCTTTTTAAACTTGAATGTGTGCAGCTACTGCATATCTGAGAGGAGCAATTCACTTAAAATTTGCATGTGTGCATCAAAAGGAAATTGAAAGAGCAGACTATGCAGACTGGTGCAGCTAACCATTTACTTATCTGGCCATCGTATTGGAAAACCACAGTCAAAATCATTTTGAAATCCTCATCTTGTTGTAACATTTCATGTCTATTGTCAATTTAGATCACACTAGTTGATAACTTGCTTTAATAATATGCTGCATTGTTCTCTCCACATCTAGCTACAATTTGTATTTTGAATGACCAGGTGCGAGCAATGGTGATTATAAACCCTGGCAACCCTACAGGCCAGTGTCTCAGCGAAGCTAATTTGAAAGAAATTCTCCACTTCTGTTATCAAGAGAACTTAGCCTTGCTTGGTGACGAGGTTTATCAGCAGAATATCTACCAGGATGAGCGTCCTTTTCTCAGTGCTAGAAAGGTAGTATTTTTTGTTGTTTGATTTAGTCTTACTCCTACAAATTCTCTGCAATCATCAAGCTCAGTAATATCCATTTTCCTCTTATGCTGGTAGGCTTTGTTGGATATGGGACCGCCTATCAGCAGGGAACTTCAGCTCGTTTCTTTCCACACTGTTTCAAAGGGATACTGGGGTGAATGTGGACAGAGAGGTGGATACTTTGAGATGACTAATATACCTCCTAAGGTTTGCTTCTCTCCCACTATGTTGTGTCGCTGGTGGGATTATGGTAATGGGTACTGATCCTATGTACTAGACATGTATGCACATCGGCTATTCAAATTAATTCTGATTCAAATTGAGAATGGTGAAAATTTAGGATCGTAATTGATATAATCATCACTATTCTGTCAATGTGTACTCTTTCAATGTCAGCTACTTCCCCCCGGCTACAATCTTCTGTTTCCACAGGATCATGCAATTTTGTAATTTATCCACTATTCTTATCATAGGTGCTAGTGCTCTTCTTTCACTTTTGATTCATGACTTCATGTTGTATGGATGTCATTTATGATGGCATTGAGCAGTGGATAGCTGAGGCATTAGCGGTGTCTCGATTTATACAAGTTGTTTTGTGCCGATTCTCTTAGTTTATGTTCTCTTCATGTCGCTACATTGCAGAGTGTTGATGAAATCTACAAAGTTGCATCGGTATCACTTAGTCCTAACGTGCCTGCCCAGATTTTTGTAAGTTGCAAAAATTTCCACTGTCTAAGCAGTCGTTTATGACCTAGCTACAACTAATCATCCCTTTTTGTTTATGATACCATTCAGATGGGATTGATGGTTAACCCTCCTAAACCTGGAGACATGTCATACGACCAGTATGTTCGCGAAAGGTACCACTCCTAACACTCCACTGATCATTATTATTTTTTTTTTTTCTATTGGTGAATTTGCTTTCAGGGAAGGTATTGTTCTCTGGACTCGAGGGAACTTAGAACAGCATAATTAACGTGCAGAAACTTTTGGTAATTTATAGCACATGGATTGTGATGGCCTTCTGGTTAATGTTTAAAGCATGTATTTTGCAGCAAAGGGATCCTTGAATCACTGAGGCGACGAGCAAGGATAATGACTGACGGGTTCAACAGCTGCCGAAATGTAGTTTGCAACTTCACGGAAGGTATAAGTTGTTAATTTTGCTTATAATCTCTTTTATCGCAATCTTGCCAATATTATTGCATTCTTGCCAATCTTCCTATAACTTTAGCCGAATTTCGTCTGAGGATTGACGCAAAACTTCTTTTAGGTGCCATGTATTCATTCCCACAAATTCGTTTGCCACCAAGAGCCATACAGGCGGCTAAACAAGCTGGAAAAGTTCCCGATGTTTTCTACTGTCTCAAGCTATTGGAAGCAACTGGCATTTCCACTGTCCCCGGTTCAGGATTCGGGCAGAAAGAAGGGTAAAATATTCATCTACTCATACCATTTCTGCAAAATCTTCCTCGTCTAACTTATAGTTGATTTCTGTGCTCATTTACAGTTTATTTCCTTTCGTTTTGACTTTTCAAGCTGTCTTTCAGGGTTTTGCATATGTGAAATTTTTTCCGAGTTAGTGAAAGGACCTTTTCTTTTGCCACATGTTGCTCTTCTTGCGAAGATGATGCACATTTTTCCTGCGACATCTCAGACAGCAACCGAGCTAATTGATCTACCCTTTTTGCCTGTAGGGTCTTCCATTTGAGGACGACCATCTTGCCTGCTGAGGAGGACATGCCGGAGATCATGGCGAGTTTCAAGAAGTTCAACGACGAGTTCATGGAGCAATATGAAGACCATCGGGGTTATTCCAGGATGTAAACACGATGCCGTACGTCTCCCAACAATCTGTAATATAATCTCCTCCTCTGGTACAACTCTCCTCGAATTGTCTCGATCTTTTCATTCTGATTTGGCCTGCGAGCACATTGTTATTGAATACTTCCCTGTACTTCCGTCTTATCCTCCATTCGCGTTAAACGTCTCTATGACATTTTCTTTCCGACCTTTCTGGCTTTGATTTTTATGTGGAATTGAATTTAACTTTCAATGAATGTAGATGCACAACTTGATGCTTGATGAATCTGAAGAACTTAGAATGAACGATGCTTTTTATACTAAAGCAAGTGGCAGGTCCTACATGAATACGCTTGGGTTCTTTTTGTCATTGTCTTTCGATGAACTACTTTCGTGTTTATGGTATGGACGAATGTCGCGACCCTCTCAAGGCGGGACATTATTAGATGTTTGATCTCGAGGTGAGTTAATGGATCATCAAGTAAGCGCGGACGATTACTCTCACGAGGTGGCGCTCATACATGGCTCGGGGTTCTCTGAAACCTTACCGATCACAACTTGGTTTTAACTCGGTTAATTATGAAATCATGCTGATTTAGTCCCTTTGAAGTTTGTTTACATATTCAAAGATGTGAGAAGGCTCTGAACTTTGCCTTAGAGAGTAAAATATTGTCTGGTCTAATTTCTAAACTCATCAATTCCCTGGGAGCGCATCATGTTACTCGAATTATCATATTAGGACATGCATAATAATAATAATAATAATAATAATAATATCGCTTAAAAAAACTGTGGGAACAATGAGATATATATACTTGTGAAGTTTTGCCATCTAAAACTTCTTGCAATGCAACAAATAATTTGAGACGAGCTTAAATTACTTGATTGCTTCTATTTTCTAGTAATTTCGGGTTTATTCCATTCAAAAATTTATGTAGAGTAAAAAAACAGACTGCCTGGAAAAAGATGTCAGAGCAATGAGATATACGCTCCAAAAGATATTAATGCGTATTCACTTATTTAATTAAATTGAAAAGTACATCTCAATGATATGCCGTTATCAAGAATGAGGAAGCCTAAATACCAATAGGATAAATGAGTGAATTCCTGAACTATATATATCTCATTTTTAGGTCTATTAACTTCACTGTGTTTGGTAGGATGATTAGATAGGAAAAAAATGATTGGAATAATTTTGAGAGAAAATAAGAGAAATGATTCGGAAGGATTAAAGTTCCATCTGTTTTTCGAAAAATGAATGATTTAAAGAATATTTTTTCAAAAAATGATCTTTTGAAATAATTAGTCAATAAAAAATATTATTATTATCGACAATAATTAATTTCTAAACAATCTTGTGAATAGTAAAAATTTTCTTCAATTTATTCATTTTTGTAAAAGATACAAGTAATCATATTTAGAAGGGTTAATACCACCAAAAACCCTAAACTGGTACATGTGTGACAATTTTACTTCGAACTTTTTTTTTTGCCACCAAAAACCCCAAACTGGTACATCTGTGACAATTTTACTCCAAACTTTTTTTTTTGTCACCAAAAATCCCAAATTAGTACACATATGATAATTTTACTCCAAACTGGTAAACCCGTGACAAATTTACCCTAAACTATTTTTTTGACCACGAAAAACCTCAAATTGGTACATCCGTGACAATTTTACCCCAAACTAATAATTTTTTAATATTATTTTTTTATTTTTTCGAATTTTTTTATTTTTTTTTCTTCATCTTCAACCTATGGCTGGTCGTCGGACCGGCGACTGGCCAGAGGCGGAAGCCGGAGAGGGCGACGAGGGCCGCCCTCGCCGGCATTGAGCGAGGGCTGTCCTCGCCCGCCTAGGCGAGGGTAGCCCTCGCCCTATGCAGGCGAGGGTCGCCCTCGCCAGATCCGGGTAAGGCAGCCCTCGCCCAACTCAGGCGAGGGTCGCCCTCGCCCGACGCCGGCAAGGGTGGCCCTCGCTAGCAGTCGGCGAGGCCGACCTCGCCGGCTTCCGCCTCTGGCCGGTCGCCGGTCCGGCGACCGGCCAGAGATTGAAAATGAAGAAAAAAAAACAAAAAAAATTAATAAAAATTCGAAAAAATAAAAAAATAATATTAAAATTTTAGTTCAGGGTAAAATTGTCACATGTGTACCAGTTTGGGGTTTTTTGTGGTATGTTCAGGGTAAAATTGTCACAAGTGTACCAGTTTGGAGTTTTTTGGGGTATGTTCGAGGTAAAATTGTCACATGTGTACCAGTTTGGGGTTTTTGGTGGTAAAAAAAAAAGTTCGGGGTAAAATTATCACACGTGTACCAGTTTGGGTTTTTTGGTGGTGTTAACCCTATTTAGAAAACTATTTTTCAAATTATTCATTATTCGTGATATGATGCATCCCTAGATTTTTTCTGTGTCTACGATTATCATGAAAAATATCGATGGCAACATTTAATGGAAAAATAATATAAATGGTTCCTAAACTTTGATTCAATAAGCAATATAGTCCTTATGTGGTCTTTAGATTTTTGGCACATGTTTAATTTAGTCCATGAACTATATGAAAATATTCAATATTATTTCTAAAGTTGAATCAATGGAAGGACAATCAGGGATCAAATTGAATATGTATAAAAAAATTTAGGGTTCACATCGCATAAATTAAAATTTCAAAAATCGCAACGCATATTAGGCGAAAGTTCAGGGTTATTTGCATTATTATCCCAAATTTAAAAGCTAAACGACGTGGCATGACAAGATCGCGTCTCTACTGTTTTCGCGAGACTCGAGGAAAATGCTCCGCACGCCGATTCCTCCTTTCTCCCGAAAGAAATCTTCATCCCGGCATCAGCCGTACGCGGCGGCGATGAAGCAGCGAACATGGCCGCACCGCTCGGACAACCCCCGCTTCTCCGCCCTCCCATTCGACGGCTGCGGCGCCGACAACCTCGCCGCCAAGCTCGTCCGCCACCACCGGACCGACCGCGCCTCCTCCAGCCGGCACGCCTCGAAGCCGCCGCCGTCCGGGCTCAGGAGCCCCGCCTCGCGCCGGGCTCTGGCCCCACCCTCGGGATCGCCGGAGCCCGCGCCGTCCCGGGACTTCGCGGCACTGCCGTACGACGTGCTCGCCAGGATCGCCGTCTCGTTCTCGCAGTCGAACCTCCGGGCGGCGTCGCTGGCGTGCAGGTCGTGGAGCGAGGCGCTCCGGCCGCTGAGGGAGGCGATGCTGCTGCTCCACTGGGGGAAGCGGTTCAAGCACGGCCGGGGCGGGGCGCGGGCGAACCCGGAGAAGGCCCTCGAGTCGTTCCTGAAGGGGGCCGTGCGCGGGTCCACGCTCGCCATGGTCGATGCTGGCCTGATGTACTGGGAGATGGGGAAGAAGGAGGCCGCCGTCGAATTGTACAGAAAAGCCGCGTCGCTCGGTGATCCGGCGGGGCAGTGCAATTTGGGGATTGCTTGCTTGCAAGGTTAGGGTTTAGTAATTTGGTAGTTGCACTAACCAAATATTGCTTCTTTGAGCTGAAGAAGATAAAAGGGACTAGACTTCGTTAGTGTTTGTGCCTCGTGATTGTTTCTTTGGTTTCTTTTTGTTAAGATTGCATCTGGGGACTTGTGATGTGATGAGATTGGTGTAACTTTTGCTTCCCAACCATTTAGCAAAGCATTATCCGTCAGGAATGTTGGTAAACGTCCAACTAGAAGAGATTGGTGTCTGTTGATTTTCCTGGTTTTCGAAATTGAGATCATACTCTTGCTGAGAGCGGAGGCCTGAAGGATTGTGAATGGAACATCGTCGAATCGGTTCGCTGTCGAGAGCAATTTTCTCCATTTCCATGAAGGAGGTGTTTTTTAACGTATACCGAGCTGATTGACAGCTTAAGTGCATGATATGGCAAATGGCTTGTTCTTTCAATTCTCAATGCGTTTGTGAACTCTATTATGTTTCGAAATTCCCTTCTTTCTGGGGGTCACTCTGCTCATGATTCTTCTTTTGTCGCTTTAAATTATGACTCCCTCTTGTGGTTCGGTTGCCGAAGTCTGTTATGCATGTTCTTATGATTACTCTGCATGCTTGCAGTTGAACCTTCAAAACCTGAGGAAGCTATTAAATGGTTACAGCTAGCTTCAACGGCTGGCCATGTCCGTGCTCAGTACCAATTGGCACTTTGCCTGCATCGAGGCTGTGGCCTGGATAGTAATTTAGTGGAAGCGGTATACTGCTTTTCTGTCTTTTGGCCTTATTTTTTGGAAGGCTGTGTGGCTGATTAAAATTCAAGAAAGTTTCTTGTGCTTATGAGCTTCTGACATAATGTATAGCCACCCCTTCCTCCCTTCCCCTTCTCCTGCTCTGGGCACAATTTTTTTGTCTAATAACTGTACATAGTTTTTTTGCTGGTTGCTTTCAAAATCCTAATTTCGAGTCTGTGCTTCATTTGTCTGAAAACTTGGTGCATTTAACAATGGTGGCGTTTGAACATACTGAAGAATCAGATGTATACATGGATTAATGCAGTTGAGGGCTGGAGAGTTCAGTACTTGCAATAGGCTGCCTTTTGTCCTATTCTTTCATTGTATTTGAACATCATAAATTACAAGTTAAAGAAGAAACCTTGGTGAATTTAAGTTGAAGTTTAGGCTAATAATGAAGCAGTAGATGTGTCCCGCAGTCCTTTTATCTTGCAAGACTGTCTGCAAATAGTTCGCTAGTGTCCATGATCAAAGAAGAGTTCGCATGTGTCTGACAGATCCACTGCTTTCTTTTTTCTTTCTTTTATCATTTCGTCGCTTTTAATTATCAGGTTCTTTTGTCATAGGCTAGATGGTATCTGAAAGCTGCCGAAGGTGGTTATGTGCGTGCTATGTACAATGTTGCACTTTGCTACTCATTTGGGGAGGGTTTACACCGAAATCGGAGACAAGCTAGAAGCTGGATGAAGCGAGCAGCTGATCGTGGTCACAGCAAAGCTCAATTTGAGCACGGGCTGAGCCTTTTTTCAGTATGTAACAATCACAGGAAATTTTTTTTTTCATCAACCAGTGTGATTAAGCTACCCAATATCATCCGGATGTTTCATTTTACCATTTTAATAGGATGAATGATGTCTGAGAATGGACATTTGATAACTGTATTATAAGTTTTTGCTTACTTGGACTTTGCTCTCTTAAGGGACTACAGAGACTGATGGGGACTTTCTCACCCTCTGCAGGCGGGTGAGATGCTGAAAGCTGTTGTATACTTGGAACTTGCTACTCGGGCTGGCGAAAGAGCAGCAGCTCACCTGAAGAATGTAATTCTCCAACAGCTGTCAGCACCATCACGTGATCGTGTGATGCTTCTTGCTGACAATTGGCGTGCTTTGCCTTCATCTCGCTGAGGTAGGTATTTATGAACTTAAGTCCATACATTACCGTCTACTGGCAATATATGGGCAGCTCAGTTATTTTTCTTCTAGTAGTATTTAGATGGATTTCACCATAGTTAACTTAGCTAGGTGAATGTGGTAAACCCAAACACAGAGTGCATTGCTTTTGGGTCAACTTTTTTCACGTGGGATCGATAATGGCATGTACCGAAGATGGCTGAGCAATTCGCTCAGAATGCATAGGTTGCAAAAAATCAGGATACAATTGATCTATGAAGAGCTGCGAGCTCTCTTATTTAATCATTTGATTGACTATTGTAGCACATCATTTGCCGTACAAGTATATGATAGTTACTGATTCGAAGAAAATTGCAGATAAGGTTAATTGCATGCAATAGGCTTTTCTGTTGAAAAAAATGTTGAGAGCAGAGGCGACAGTCAATTGCTCTTCAAGCTGTCTTTAGAATGTATTATTAACTCGTTTTCCTGTAGCACTTTCTTCCGTTCTCATTTCTGATGCTCCATATGTGTCCGGCTCTCTCTAGGATTAAAGTCGTGGGCATTCAAGTTTCTGAGGGTGGCAAAAGGGACTGTTATGATGGGCCTAGCTGCTGGTTGATGGCTTTCCTGCTTGTGCTCCCTTACTGCACTGTGATGAAGCTGATCTTTTGCTAGTAGTTTCCAAAGTGTGCTTTGTCGTAAGCGGACGTAAGGTTTGATGGATTGAGGGTCGAGCTCCACATGAAACCCTATTGCTGGTTGTAAGATAAGTTTTGCCAACTCAGTAAAGCCATAAATGGTCCCAGGAATTTTTGTGAATGACGATTGTTGAAGCTTGAAACTAGCAAATCCGGTCCTCCATCCGAATGTTCGATCCGGCTACACATAGGAGTCTTGCAAGTTTGGCCTCCTCCTGAAATCGATCATGAATCCGGTTGTTTGTTGAATAAACAGAGCCTATTCAATGGCGAGCGGAGTTATGGCCTAACACATCCTGTGCCAAGCAGAGCTGTGGATGGGAACCACCAGGAATTGCTGTAATTCCACTACCCAATCAGGAAGTGTTCATCACCTGGATGTGGTCCTATCTTCTTCTTCTTTTTTCCCTTTAAATCTCAAAAATTTGCTAGGAGTCTTTTTTATGTTAATCCACTTTTTTGGTACGCACCCACTAAACACTTAATCGAACAAAATCTGAAAATCCTAATCAATTATAACATTTAACAACTATCTCTTCTCCTGCCCTAAGAGGCAGCAGGGGAAGAGCCTCCATATGGAAATTGAATTGCGCCCACAAAATTCTTAAAAGCAACGGGCTCGTCTCTAATAAAACTCGACTGTTTCGAGTTATGGTCAACATGAGCTCCAAATTGTGAACCTACTAAACTTTATGAATTCCTAAACAAAAACCGTAGTAATTGAAATAACGTGTCTGGATTGATTTTTATTCTTTATGTTTTGTTCAGTGATACAGCAGAAACGATAGAAACACAAATCACCCATTCGCTAACATGCGCCCACGAGCGCAAAGTCGGAGAAAAATCTCTCATAAATTCTTAAATTCAAAGGGATAAACCATCCTACAAGAGTATAATATGCATATACAAATCTAGAGAACCTGAAAATCCATAGCGTTGAGCTTCACGACCGATCTCTCGATTCTACGATCAGCGACCAGGTTCACCAACCCAACCTTGCTTGATCTTATTATGCCCTGTAAAAGACCAAGAGCTAGTATCAGCAAGCATCTTGAGATTGCAATTTTTCTGATTAGCGTGTTTGATCTTTTTATCAGGATGCATACCATCAATCTCAAAATTCGGAGCAGCTTTCCTTGAGAACCAAGGAAATATTGCGGCACGGGTATAGGCGTTGGCACCTTAAAATCCCAAGTGCGAAATTTTCCAACATTCATAATCTGGAGTTTGTTTGTCCCAAAAATTATTTTGCTGACCACATTCAACCGTTACCAGAAAACTGCATTAGTGTCCATCGTGTGGAATTCAACTTAGATTAAGTAACAGTGGCACGTACCGAAAATGATGGCAACGCAATTCACTGCGAATTCCTAGGTCGCAAAAAATTAGGATGCAATTGATCTATGAAGAGCTGCGAGCTATCTGATTTAATAATTTGAGTGACTATGGTGGCACATTATTTGCGTGGGTCTTCGCGTTGTCGTTGATGAAAGCGTGCAGAGGAAACTGGTGAATTACATCCATAAAGTTAGTGCTCTTGCCGTGAAAATTTTGTGATCAGATTTGTTAGTGCTCTTGCACGTCCCACCGGACGTACCAAAAAGATTTTTCGTCAGAATTCGACTCGACGACAAAATACCTTTCACCAAAAGTCGTTCTTCGATTTTTTTTTATAAGAGGAGGCAATTATGCGGTGACTCTGGATTGGAAAAATCACATAAACACAAAAGAACTGATAGATGTGCTTTAACGAAATTTAATCAACATTAAAGAAAATAAAATTATGCCGGAATTTAATCGACGACAGAATGCAGTAACATAAAATACAATGATTTGAGAGTTACAACTACATTTAACTAAGACATTCGCCGGAATTTAATCGACGATGAGATATTTAAGAACTTAGTGCATAGTCTTATCGACTCACGACGGGGGGGCCAACTTTGATGTCTACTTCGAGAAAAAATCAGAAGGCCATTGGAATGGCCTTTCCATTCACTATATAAAAAAAGTAGAACTAGGATTTTCCACATGGCTTTCCCACCGCCAACTCATGGAGAATAACGACATGATTCACGACCGATCATGAGGAAAATATCTATCAACTTTTCGTGCATGAAGAAAGTTTCAAGGTACCTAAAATTAAAAGCCGAGTCAAAAAGCAAAGTGGGCGGAAGTAATATCGACTCCAAAAATATTTAAAATCTTTTTCGTAACGTATGTTAGCCGCGAGGGGGAGAAACAATACTTTGTGAAAATTTGGACCCCATTTCGTCGTTGCGTCCCGCAATCCGGGGGACGTGACTCCCTCGCGATACCGGCGATCCTCGATCCTAGATATTCTTCGAGTGACCCATCGAGAGAAGATATCAATTGACCGGAGGCGATACCATCGGATTGTCACGAGAGAAATTACTCTCTGAAGATTGATTCAACTTTGCAACGTGTTCCGGAAGATAAAGAGGGAATGATTTCTTTTTTAGTAAGAGAGGGAGATTATTGGCGGTGATCCCACCAAAATCTCGGAAGTCCTGAGTTCGACCGCTCTAGAAGCGTAAGGGGATTGATAGAATAATTAAATATTAAATTACGCGATTAGATAAATAGGTTTAAACTTTTAAAACAGTTACAAAACCTTACACTTTTTGGTCCAGCCATCCGACCAGGCAGAAAATGCCAGAGACGTCACACGCGAGTCAAAGATGAGACCACCAAGTGGGCGGAGAAGGGGCGGCAAAAGAGTTAAAGGCAGATGTCGACTAAGACGATGCTGTCGGTAACTTGGGGCACCCCCAACAAGTTCGTGCCTTCTCTTAATAATTTTAATATTGTCATTACCTTTTTGAAATTTTGGCATCGATTTCTCCTTTTGCCTTTTTCGGAGTTTCGCCCAACCGCCCAGGCGCCCACCAGTTCTATAAAAGGCCCAACACACATTCGTTTTCTCGACACGCTCAGTTCTTTGTCGTACTCTGCTGCTCTCGTCTTCTCTCAATCATCAGATCGCCCGAAACAAACAGAACATGTCGTGCTTCAAGGGAAAATACCACTGTACTCCTTTTCTCTCTCTCTCTCTCTCTCTCTCTGCGCGCACACGCTTTGCTTCCTTTGGATAGTCGAGTTTGGTCTACATAGTATTCTAGTTGGTCGACAGTTCTGTTTTTTCCTAGCTCGATTTCTGTCACAGTTCATATTCAGTTCATATTCGGTTCGAACTGAACCGAAAACCGAACTGAACCAAACCGAACCGAACCGGTTTTTTTGTTCCGTTCATATTGGGTCCGAGCGAGATTCGATTCGGTTCAAGGGTACACCCTAAGTTCGGTTTTTCAAGAAAATCGAACCAAACCAAACCGTTTACACCCCTACCATTTGGCAAGCATTCCCAATGTTGGCTTTCGGCCGAAAGCCAACATTAGGAATGTTGAAACCAACTTTTTTCTTCCCAAACTGCCCTCACTTATTCTGGCTTATTCCGGTTTTTCCCTTCTTATTACTGTTCATCTTTTGCGCGAGGGCCAATGGTAGCCCGACACCTGATTGCAGAAGGTTGATCTCGTTTACTCATGCCATAGTTCGAATTCTAGTTTATTTGTAGTAAAAGTGGTGTCTGGTTTGGTTTGCTCTAGTTTGGCCTTCTTATCTGTAGTAAAAGTGGTGTCTGGTTTGATCTGCTCTAGTTTGGCCTTCTTATCTGTTCTCTGGATGCTGAATTTATTTGTAGCGGCTTTTACTGGTAGTTGAACGTTGCGTGCTATGGATTCAAGTTCTACGTGTCTGTAGTTGGAGGAAGATATTGTCGATCTAGCCAATCACGACAATCTGTTTATAACTCTTTTTCTGTGCAAGGCTTTGCCTTGACTACTCATGAATCATGATCCTGTTCTTCCTAGATGTGATATAATTTAACCCTAGCTTCTGCCCGACTTGATTTGGTTTCATCGACGATGTGAAGTTTTTGTACATATGTTTGGCCATCCTTAAGTTTTATGAGTGTTGTCTTCATTAGTATTTGTCTACAATGATCTGGAACTTCCTGCGTGTTCCTGTTTATATTCCTAGGATAGCAAGGAATCGAGTCAATTAGTTGCAATGTTTGCTTGGTTGCCAAGTTGAGCTCTGAGGTTGAGTGAGAGTGGTTTCCAGCAAATATAATGTGGATGGTAACTCACTGAGATTCCTGATAAGCTGTTTAAGTGAAAGCTTTCTTTTACTCTGAATTAGAGTGTATTTCACTCGTCTTTTTTCTGGGTTTTGACTAGATAAAGTTAACTTTGGTGATTATTGAAAAGTCTGTTCGTGTGATTTGCTTTAGGCATGCCTGTGTTGCTCATTCAAAAGTCTAGGGCATGTTGTTAAATGATTCGAAATACTGTGATTTTCTGCAATCTTGTTCCAGATTTAAGACCTACTAATGCCCTGTTAAATACTGTTATACTGGAAAAATGCTAAAAATGAATCTCGAGACGGGTCGGGCATGAGTCGAGAAACTTGCATTGCAAATGAATGGGTCAAAACGGGTTAAATGGGTCAATTCGGGTCGGACCATCTATGACCTGACCCAAACCCGGCCCGACCCACCTGTTTGACGGGCCTAGATGTAATATAATTTAACCCAAGCTTTCGCCCAATTCAATTTAGTTTCATCGACGATGTGTCGTATCTTTGCCGGCGTTTCAAGTCTATCTTTTTTGATGTGATTATTCTTTCCATGTGTATATTTAAGACACGGTGGTGATGGACAATGTTATAGAGTTTTTTTTTTGGTCAAAATGTTATAGAGTTTTAATGCGTGAGGACTTTATGGGATTTATGTAGATGAGCTCATCGCCTATGCTGACCACCTCGGTACCCCTGGAAAGGGTATTCTCGTTGCTGATGATTCGACTGGCACCATCAGCAAGCAGTTGTTTGACATCAACGTTGAAGCTGTCGAGTCCCCCATGCATACCCTCCTTGAACTCCTCTTGACCACTCTTGGAGCTCTCGCGTACCTTAGTGGAGCGATTCTGTCCGAGGAAACTCTCTACCAGAAGACCGCTGAAGGTCAGTGTTCTCAATAGCATTTTCTTAGCCGATCTTCAGTTGTCTCGAAATGAGTAGATGAGAAGCTCATCATGATGTTTTGGCTTGCGAGACATCTGCATACACGTTCATTTCGAGTCTAGGATTACAGTTTTATGTAATTTTCTCATTCACTGAATTATTGTATTTGTGCAGGTAAGCCCATCGTAGATATCCTGATGGAAGCTGGGGTACTTCCTGGCATTAAGGTTGACAAGGGCACAGTTGAGCTCGCTGGCACAAATAGCGAGACCACCACTCAGGGTCTCGATGGCCTTGCTCAGCGATGCCAACAATACTACGCGGCCGGTGCTCGCTTTGCCAAATGGCGTGCTGTGTTCAAGATCGGCTCAAGCGAGCCATCTCTGCTTGCCATCAATGAGAATGCAAATGGACTGGCGAGGTTTGCCATTATCTGCCAGGAGAACGGCCTAGTCCCCATTGTGGAGCCTGAGATCTTGGTGGATGGTTGCCACAGCATTGACAAGTGCGCTGAGGTGACGGAGCGTGTCCTCGTCGCTTGCTACAAGGCCCTAAATGACCACCGTGTGCTCATCGAGGGAACCTTGTTGAAGCCTAACATGGTCACCCCTGGATTGGAAGCCCCCAAGGTTGCTCCGGACGTCATTGCTGAGTACACCGTCCGTGCCATGCTGCGAACCGTGCCTGCTGTTGTTCCAGCCATCATGTTCTTGTCTGGTGGGCAGAACGAGGGGGAGGCCGTCCTCAACCTCAATGCCATGAACAAGCTCAAGGGCAAGAAGCCAAGGAGAGGCCTCAATCTCAATGCCACAAGCAAGCTCCTAGGCAAGAAGCCATGGAGCCTCTCCTTCTCCTTCGGTCAGGCCCCACAGCAAAGCATCTTGAAGGCCTGGGCCGGAATGGAAGAGAACATTTGTGAGGCACGGGCCGCATATCTCAGGAGATGCAAGGCAAACTCGGAGGCGACTCTCGGAACTTACAAGGGCAAAGCTCAACTTGACGAGAAGGCGACCCTCAGAACTTACAGGGGCAAAGCTCAACTCGTCGAGGGCACTTCCGGTTCTCTCCATATTTAAAACTGAAAGTACTAAATGCGGATCTAGGACAAAATGCTCTACTCCTAGCCTTTATTATGTTGCTTGCTTTATGTATATGGATGCTTTTGTGTATAAATAAATGTTTGCTGGTTGTTAAGAAACCATGCTTGTAGTGGTGATCGACTCTTTAGATAATCGATGCTCATTCTTGTATGTACTGCGAGTGCATATCATCAGTATCAGGTGTTGCTGGAAGAACATTAGCCCAACTAATCTTCCTGTTCACATTGAATGGACATGATTTTTGAGTATCTTCATGGCCTAGGCCTTGTAAATTTTCACCTAGATTTGGCATCACTCTTAGACATGGATCTACACAGATCATAGCACACTAAAAATGTTAGCTTGCATCATTACACCAAGGCTATCTAAACTCCCAAGGCTATTGAAATGCTAAAACTGCATAGAGTACCATTGCACCAAATTTATAGCCCTTTGCCAAAATACGGTGTTGTAGATAGATTTGTTTAGAGATGAATTTAGCAATAATAAGACTCCGAAATTGTTAATTTGATACTCGGATGCTTCAAGTTTCTGTTCGCCTTCACAGGGAAGGGTCTCTTTGGAGGTTTGAAGAACATCAAACCCGGCGGGTAGGTGAGTTGTGGACAGGGTAGACCGAGTCAGAGACAGATCAAAATTTCAAGAGCCACTAACTTATGGTGAGAATTGGCCTTGACGAAACAGGGGAAGCAATAGCACAAGCCATAGTTCATCTTTGCAGTGCTCGGTCTTGTTAGTCCTGTTTTGCTCGCAGTACTAAACTTAAAGGTTTTGTTAGAGAACAGACAGTATCACCGGGCATGGGTATTGGTGTTGGCACCTTAAAATCCCAAGTCCGAAATTTTCCGACATTCATAATTTGGAGTTTGTTTGTCCCAAAAATTACTTTGCTGACCACATTCAACCGTTTTCAGGAAACTGCGTTAGTGTCTATTGTGTGGAATTCAACTTAGATAAGTAACAATGGCATGTACCAAAGATGATGGCTAAGCAATTTACTGCGAATTCCGAGGTCGCAAAATATCAGGATGCAATTGATTTATGAAGAGCTGCGAGCTATCTTATTTAATAATTTGAGTGACTATGGTGGCACATTATTTGCGGTACGAGTGTATGACAGTGACTAATTCCAAACAAATTGCAGGTAAGTTTAATTGCATGGAATAGGCTCTTCTGTTGCTTATGCTAAGAGCAGAGGCGACAGTTGATTGCCGTTTAAGCTATCTCCTGAATGTATTATTAACTCGCTTCCTGTACGACTTCCTTCGATTCTCATTTCTGATGTTCCATATGTGTCGGGCTCTCCCTAAGACTAGGGCCGTAGCATCCAAGTTTCCGAGGGCAAAAGTGACATTACGGTGGACCTAGTTGTTGGATGATGGTTTTCCCGCTTGTGCTCCCTTACTGCACTGTGATGAAGCCGAGGTTTGCAAGTAGTTTTCCCAACTGTGTTTTACAGTAAGTGGATATATGATTTGATGTCGAGAGGGTTTGAAGTCCTTTCAAAACACTCGCAGCTCGTAAAGTAACAACTGGTCACAGGAATTTTTGTGAATTATGACAGTTGAAACTTGAAATTTGCAATTCGGTCATCCATCCAAATGTTCTACATGCTGAAGTCTGGCACGTTTGGTCTCCTTCTGATCTGTTGTTGAGTAAAAGGAGTCTGTTCTATGATGAGCGGAGTCACGACCAACACATACAGTGCCAAAGCAGAGTTGTGATGGAACCACCAGGAATTGATGTAATTCCTGAAGCTTGGAGGCAGTAATATGTGCAGAGGGAAAGCGTAACACGATTGCCCGATCTTTCTCTCGCTCTTCCCGCAAGATTAAGCAAATTTGTTTCGCTCTGGTAACACAAATTATTTGGCATCCTCATTCCACGTCGACCCTTGTGGAAATTATTATTGTTACTATCATCATTATGAACATTATTGTTTTGACAAAGCTTTTCTCAGAGAGTCCTAAAATAGAAATATCAATCTGCTTATGAAATGAATCAATTTATGTGTTAAAAGACAGGCTAATTTGACGCTTATCCCATGCGAAGTATAATCCGTGTATTACAGTTTACCTTAAAGGAGCGGTCCACCGTGTGAAAAGGATTGGTGGAACACTAGGAATTTGCGTACTCGGCTGTACTTGAAATCTGAAGAGGGAGAAATCGGAAGGCATTTCGCTTCATGATGGAGAGTAACTTTGAAATGGTAGACGGAGTTTAATCAGAGAGTATACTAATGTTGCAGGTAGTCCAACAAGGGAGAAACACAAACTTTGCTTATTCACCATGCGCTACGGGCCACTCCATATCGGCTTAGGCTCAGTGTAGAATATGAACCTTGGATCAGGTCAATGCAACCAACAATGAGCAAAACATATGCATCCTCCAGCAATGAGCAGAGCAAGTATTTAGATGAGACTGTTCATCAATAACACCCACTTCACTAAGTTACGGTCTAAACTCATTTTAAAATCCCATCACATATCAAGAAATGGCGGGGCCCTTCACAATTCCTATGCTGTAATTAGCTTTGCCCGCTGCAAATAGTTGCTTATTGACTCTCTCTCTTTCTCTCGCGCCGTTTGGGAGAGTCCATAATTCAGCAAGGATAGACTAGATAGAACCAATGCTTCGTCTAATGCACGAACCCATCGACCCCTCGTGATCATGAAGAACACCTCCAGCAATCCCTTCCATGAGAACCGAGTCGTCCGTAGTTAATTTAAACCGACCAGCAGGGTGTGGGGACCTCTTGAGATTTGAAGGTCTGCTCTTTTTCCACCGATCGCAACCATGAGTAGAACAACTCCAAAGCTCAGCAGCTTCCCCCGGAGGTTTCGTAACATTAAACTCGGTTGTGTCATCACCGACCTCACTTCCCTGTTTCGTCGGCTTTTTCAAATATTCCAGATAACAAATGGAAACGACAAATTCTAGGGAAGGTGGGGTTTAATGCTGTTGCAGATGTTTTCTGTGCAGCATTAGATTTAATCCATGTCTAAAGAGGTTCCCAACTGGTCCCAGAATTACTCTGGTTTCTTTTGCTGGAAAGGTACTGACCAACGAGCCAATGGACCTTATGGCAGGGATTTGCAACGATGGGGGGTCTGTTTGGGCTCGGAACTGTGCAAGCACACAGACATAACATTTTGAAAAACCCCATATAGAGTTGGATCATCCAACACCAACTCAACACAACATGCCGATGCATGTGCTCTTTCCGGAAGTAGAGAACTTGCCTGATATCATGGAGATTAAGGAGTTCCTCGTGGAACAAGTTGTGATTCAAGAGTCATGTAGCTGACAAGCCAAGAAGCTAAAGACGAAGTAGCATCAGAAAACGGAAGAATCGCCAACGTCCAAGCGGTCGGGCAAGCCACATTACCGAGCCGAGACCATTGAGGACGTCGCTCAAATGGATGGGGAGAATGTCACAGTCCCGAAGGACTGTGTACGATCCAAGAAAACCGTATCAGCCTCCTAGGTTTTCGGACACCTCTAGAATATATCTAGAGACGGACAATATGGTAAATATATAATGTTCTAGAGCATTCCATCGTAAATGGCAATAATTGGTAGATAGGCAGATGCAATCTCCACCGTTAGATCGAAAAGCAATCAACGGTCGTAATGAGAGGGACTCTTGTATAAAGAGCGGTTTGAAAGCATTTTTTTTTTTACCTTCTCTTTCTACAATCCGGGTGAGCGAGCTTAGCTTTTCCATTTTAAATAAAGTTTCAATTCATACTTTCTCGAACGACATTAGAGGGCTAACGGCAATTTCCTTTGCGAAATCATCCGACCTTCCCGCAGGACACTGACAACCAACTTGCGACTTCTCTACACACAAGAATGAGAAAACAATTACGATAATCCTAGAGAACCAATTCAAATCGTCAGTTTCCTTTTCATTCATTCCCTTTCATTCATTCGAATTCCAACTTTTTAATACATCATCCACCGTTTGAGATACTTCCTTGATGAGGTCATTTGACGATGTAATCTGAGTGAAGCCGTTTGTACACGTGGGTGTTTTCTTCCAACTTTTAACGTTGTGATGTTAAAATCAACTTGATGAACATATAATGAACTACATGGGTGCTGCCGTGAGCTTGGGAGAAGATTACTTGCTTGTTTCATTCTGAGTGTTTCTACGCTTTGGATGAGCGCTGGTAAGCTTTGCCCTAGTGAGTCCTTGCGAAGAAGATGATGAACAGTGACAAGGAGGAGCTCGGAGCTCTTGTTTCGTAACTGGTTGCATCGAAGGCTTTTTTACTGGTTAAGCTATTTCGATTGATGTGGCATTGTTTGATTATTTGATGAATTGAATAGGTATGGGTATTATGGGCTGCTTTTGTTTTGAGCTCAAGCATGGAGGTTGCAAGGAAAGACAGAAGAAGAAAAACGAAAATAATAATCAATTGGGGCCGAACGATGACTATTCGGTTTCTCTGTTTTTATGTTCTTTTTATTTTCTAAAATAGATTTGGAACATAAATTCGTTTGGTAAAATAATTTTATTTTTCAATTTCCGCGACAAATTTAAAACCCAGTAATAGATTTGGAAGAAGTTGAAATTTTTTACTTTTCTAATTTTGCAACAGAAATATAAATAACAACTCTCTTTTATTGCTTGCCCTCATTGCTTGCCGCCGCCCACCTGCCCACTATTAGCCGCTGCTTGCTGTCCACCGCCGATCGTTCGCCACTCGCCCATCGCTGGCCGGCTGTATGCTGCCATGGCCGCTCGCTGGCCACCCGTCCCCCACCCGCTGGCCGTCCATCGTTGCCCAATGGCCATTCGCCGTCCGCCGCTTGCCGACCATCCACCTCTACTTGCCGTCAACGGCCGGGAGTAGAAATTTAAAAATAACCTATCAAACAAATTTTTATTCCGGGAACAAAAATTTTGTATATTTATTAAACGCTACTTTTTGTTCAGAAGCTCGTTTGGAAAACAAAATAGATTTTTCTATTTTTGGTCAAAAATAGGGCCGGGGAAGAGAAATTTTATCATTCGCGCCCTTGGTAACTATCATGTTTCTCTATTTTCTATTCTTTTGTTTTCGGAAAAGAAAAAAGAACATAAATTTGTTTGGCAACCTAGCTAATTTTTCTATTCCCCATAATAGAAAAGTGGTGGAGAATAGATTTGAAATAGAAATAAAAAGTAAAAAAAAAACATATTTCTTTGTTTCAGGAACAATTTCTGAAACAAGTCATTTTCTTTTTTCTCTTTTTTTTTTTTCCTTCCTTCTTTCTTCTCCCCTAGCCGGTCGCCGGCCATCGCCAAAACCTCGGGCGAGTCGTGGCTGGGTGAGGCTCAACCTTGCTAGATTTGGACGAGTCTATGGTGAGGCCGACCTTGCCTAGCCACCGCGAAGTCAACCTCGCTAGCCTTCGCTAAGGCCCGACGACTAGCTAGAGGAGGAAGAAGAAGAGAGGAAAAAAAGAAAATAAATTTTAAAAAATAAAAAAAATCTCAGAAAATTATTAAAAAATAAAAAAATCCCACGTCGCAAACAAAATTTAAGATCGTACCAAATGCTTTTGTGTTCTTTTTCTATTCTGTGAATAGAAATTTTGTGCAGTTACCAAACGTGTTCTTTTGCTCAAAAACTCATCTAGGGAATAAAAATAAAAAAGACTATTTCTGAAAAAAAAAATTGTTCCTGAAAACGGAAATGTTACCAAACGCATCCTAAGAAAATAGTAAAAAAAAGGTTTTTTTTTAAATAAATTATTTAATAGAGCCGAAATTCCACGTGGAGAAAGAGAGAAATTCAAACTTTAAGGGCAATGTTAGACGGATAAATAACAGAGCCAGATTTAGTATGAAGCGAAAATTTGTGATATTTTACTAGACATTAAAAAAAAAAAGTTTGGGCCAAATTTGAGTATAAAGTCAAAGTGGGTGCTTTTTAAAGGGAATTGAGCCCATGTTCATACGGTGAAAGAGTTCTTTGTTTCTTCCTGTTCAGTCCTTTTCACAACGTAAAAAATTTTGCTGCGGTCAGATACACGCCTTTCAACTTTCAAGAGACGTGTTCTAACTATGGTGAAGATAGCACTCCGGAACACAGGTCCGGAACAGCCTGCATTCACCAACAATGCCCACAAGGATAGCATTATCGATAGATTTCTTTTCCATTAGCTGCAGCACGACCCCGGCGTCGAGCTCGATGATCAGCCAAGCGCCCACAATTCAGCCAGGATAAGGTGAGGTAGAACCGATGCTTCGTGCAAAAGCCGCAAACCCATCGACCCTAGTGGTCGCGAAGAACACCTCCGGCAACCCCGTGGAACGGATTCATCGAATCCGAGTCATCCGTATTGGATTTAAACCAACCAACAGGGGGAGGAGTGCCTCTTGAGATTTGAAGGTTTGCTCTTTTACAACCGATTGCAAGTAGGAGTAATTACTGAAATGATCTCTTGACGCACCATGGCACCTGCTTTTCGAAGGTCGGACAAGAACTTCCACAGACATTCGGCTAACTTGTAATCCCGCGAGAGGAATTATCGTGGGAAGAATGAAAGCCTTTCGATGTCACTCTTGTGTTTGTTTGCGCTCGATGTGGAATCGTGTTTGTATTTCAAATATGAAAGGACTTCTCTTTGCATCGGTTTTTACCAACAACAGACGATAATATAATCAATTAGAGTTCATGAGTTACACTTGATCCAGAATCCTACTTCTTAACCCCTAATAACAACTCCATCGAATAAAATCTATTAGCCGTTTTCGCACAGCGACGGATGCGCAAAGTCATGTAAGACCGATTCCTTAGACGGGCAACATGATCCGATAGACCTCGAGCAAAGCAAAGCCAAGTAGAACCGTTTGGTGTACCCCTTTTTTCTCTACACGCTACAAATGGAGGCGACACCCACCTAATTCTGAACAAGGCAAGAGATGAGATACCTTTAGAGTATCCAGAATACAGCGACGCGGCAGACCCCGCCTAATTTGCAATTGTCCCACCCACAACCACCACACGCACAGAGATGCTTGCTTTTTGTATGGGTTCGACAGATCAGTCCATGGCCATAATCAAATGTCAATTGCCAACAACAACTGGCATGAGGAAACAAGGAATTGGTCCGATTTGGTAAAGAACTGACTGGCATTATTGGTTGGAACTAGAATACACTATGGTCTGGTCTCAGCCCCAATTGCGATTGGTGCAACCAAAATGGAACCAAAATGGAGAACCAACAGTACCAGAAGACACAGCATACATCACCATACCGTTCAAGCTTGTCGATGCCAAATGTCAAAGTCGATCAAAATCAAGTACAGGCAAATGAAAACAGCTCACTGTATGAATTGCCACATATTCATGTTTCGAATTTCACTTACCTGCGCAAAATAGAACTCGCCCACTTGGGATTCCAGTTGGAGAAGAGAACAATTGAGGCCACAAGACATCAGTTTGCTCATGCAAACATCAAGTTCCATCAGACAAAAGCAACCACAAAGGCATGAAAACTGCCTTTCAAATTTCAATCCACTGTACTGCAAAAGTGTATTTGATGATTGATTTTACAATTTTGGACCTAAGGCCCCTAACCTATCTGTGCTAATAAAACAAAAGTATATTTTTCCAGGTGACCAACAAATGAAAAATTATAGAACGCAGCAGTTCTTGAAGTTCAGCGCGAGTATGAATGTATGCGATGAGAATGGACATCAGCATGATACATCTTGATTTGGTACACGGCCTTGGAAATCAAATCCCTCAATTCAAGATTCTGCCCAGTTATGGAACGATCTACTCCCTCGAGTGCAGTCAAGACCCTAGCTCTTTCCAGACCCTCATTATCTCCAGCATGTATCGCAAGGTAGCAGAGGAGGATCAGCGCATTCAACTGAGCTCGTTCATTGCTCCTCAAAAGTCTCATGAGAGGAGGGACTCCATTGAACTCAACTATTGCCTTCGAATGTGTTGTGCAGAGATAATTATCGGGACAAGCGAACTTCACCAGAGAAATGGCAGCTTCAGTGGCCACATCTTCATCTCTGTGGCTCAGTTGGGTTACTAGCGGCTGAATTACTCTGGTTTCTCTTGCTGGAAATGTCCTGGCCAATGAACCAATGGACCTTATGGCAGGAATTTGCAATGATGGGCGGTCTATTTCCTTGACAATCCTCAAAAGCTGATCCACAACGGCCTTAGCAGCCGGCGAACTCGTCTTAAAAGCCGCTCGCCTAAGATCACTGTTCAGTTCAGCAGCTGCGGTTATCTCCATCAATGTCATCAAACAATTGTACTGCAACTTGTCGCGCTCTTTCTCGACCAACTTTGCCAAACAAAGCAATCCTTTTGTCTCAGTTATCCTCCTACTATTGGGAACATTCCCCTTTGCAAGCATCCACAAAGCCTCCGCAGCACTACACTTCAGTTTAAGCTTAATCTCAGGCGTCTCACCCTCTCTTTCCTTCCTGTGACCCCCCAATCTATTAACCCCATCTGATAACGAGCGTGAATGAGTGCTCGATTGAGGGAGATGGCTGTTAGATTTCGCCATTGCGAATTTACCCTTTTCCTTGTTCAATTGAATGATCGAATGTATACTCTGCTTACCCAAATGAACTTTCATATCATCCTCCATAAACGTCTCGAATGACAACATCGACACCAGAGGGCTAATGGCGTTCTCCCTTGCGAAATCATCTTGAGCGACGGGGTCGAGCTCTGCCATCCTCGCCACCAACCGCGCCACATGTATCTGCACCCGCATGGGCGCGTCCCTGAGGACCTTCACAATGAGAGGAACCCCGAGTTCGCTCACGACGACCCTGACTCTCTCTTGATCATTGGCCAGATTAAAGAGCGCGACCGCGGCGGCAATTTGCGCCTCCGGGGCCGCAGCCTCCTTCAAGAGCTTCAACAGAGGAGGAACCCCACCTTCCTCCACAATAATCTTCTTGTTCCGGTCGTTATCCTTCGCGAGCGAAGCCAATTCATTGGCAGCCTCGACTCGGTCCGACGATTCTCCCGCGTAGATGGAAGCAATGAAGGACCAGACCCACGCCAGAATCGGATCGTTACTCGCGATCGGCGGCAAGGAGAGCACAATCCCGCCGCCGCCGCCGCCAGGCTCGTCGGGACCAAGAACACTCAACAACCACTCCATATCCCCAACGGAGGCGTCCAGCAGGCTCAGCACTTTCCTGAAATCCGTGACGCTAGTGATCCTGACCAGACGGCGGATCAGGTTCTGGCGCCTGCACTTGCGCGCGAGGCTCAGGGCCCGCTCGAGGCTCCTGGCGACCTCCGCGGCGACGCGCCGGACGGGGCGGTCGTAGAGCGGCGGCGGCGGCGAGGACGCGAGCCGGGCCAGGGCCCGGAGCATCTGCGACAGCCTCTCCACCTGCCTCCCAATCTCGGCGCACTCGAGCTTGAACGACTCGGACTCCTTGACCGCCGCGCGGACCCGCTCCGCCAGGACTATCGGGTGCGACAGCGCGTCCTCCACGCGGCCCTCCCCCGCCGCCCCATCCGCCGCCGCAGCCTTCGCCGGCGGCTCGGCGATCCTCCTCGGCGGCTGGAGATTCATCCGGAAGCAACGAAACGACGATCGTGAGGAGGCTTTCGGATTCATCGAATGAGGCCGAGGTTTGGTCGGACTCGGACACGGACACGGACGCGAGCGCGCCGAGACGAAGGCAGCTTCTGGGGAAGGCGTCAGAACGTGATGGGCATGTCGTCTTCACGTCGCTCCCAGTGAGAGAATCGCCGCCACTGTCGTCGTCGTCGTCGTCGTCGTCGTCTCCTTCGCCTCCTCCTCCTCCTCCTCCTCCTCCTCCTCGAAGCGCGTGGTGTAGAGAGAGAGAACTTCCGGTTGACTAAGTCAACCTTCGCCTGTAATTTCCATGGACGCTCCCGCGAAGAAGCGGAAACTTCTGGTTTACGTTACTTGGGGGCGCTTCGAGTACTGTCAATTTTGAGGACGACGAAGGGGAGGAATTTGGCGCGCACGCGCCCGTGGGGAGCGCGTGGCCGGAGAGTTTTTTTCTTCGTGTATTTTTTTCTTTTCGTCTGCAGCTGTTTAATCCCCAATGTTTTTTTTCTATCTAATTCACCAATTTAAAATATATTTATTTTGCCTTCTCCACTCAAAATAAAAAATAAAATTAGTACAGAACAGATATTCTCTCACTTGTTCTCGAAGTTTCTGTGGGGTTGGCGCCACGACTAGTGTAACGACCCTCGTTTTGGTATTTATATTTGGGTTGATGCCTAAAAAATATTAAAATTAGTAAATCTGTAATAAATTTCATAAAAAATATAAAATTGGTACATCTGTGATAAATTTACCATATGTTAGTTTTCGTTCAATTTTACCATCTAATTGTTGAGTTGAATGACACGTTCGATCCTGGATCAAGATGAATGCTGGCAGCATGTTTAACACACCGATTACGTAAAGCTCGCGGTAGCAAGGATGGAAAATATTGCGTCCAATAGGATTTGAACCTATACCAAAGGTTTAGAAGACCTTTGTCCTATCCATTGCGTCCAATAGGATTTGAACCTATACCAAAGGTTTAGAGGACCTCTGTCCTATCCATTATACAATGGACGCCTTTTTCTTTTTATTCTAATGACACGAAGATTTTCAATCCTCTGCTCTACCGGCTGAGCTATCCTGACCATTCTTTACACATTATCCTCATTTTACTAGATGACTTGGTTCTATGTCAATTAAAAAGACGAAAGGGGTAGAAAAAGTCTTATCCAGACTAGTAGTATCGCTGCTGTCCTTTTTGCAGCTTTCGTTGTTGCTGGAACTATGTGATATGGTTCAACAACTCTTCCATCATCGGATGAGATGGGTATCCCACCAATTACTCATAGTCTAGGTTGTAGTGTTGGGGGGAGGGGAAAAAGAGATAGGTGTATCGATTTAGAATTTTACACGAATTTATCAATATATGATTTTTTGTGGCGTTAATCCAATTTAACGGAGGTTAAATTTATCACAAGTGTATCGATTTGTGATTTTTTATGATCAAAAAATTAGTTTTAGGTAAATTTATCATAGGTGTACTAGCTTGAGGTTTTTAGTGGTCAAACAATTAGTTTGAGGTGAAATTGTCATGTGTATACCAACTTAGGATTTTTCATGGTATTAACCTTTTATATTTTTCAAGCCATCATTTAAATTTTGATAATTTTAAACAAATGATCGCTTAGATAATTTTGATAACCAAATATTTGACTTGCCTTTATCTATACTGCATAAAGGGAGCTTCTAAAAAGTTTTGGCGTTAAATTGAAGTACTAGCATTAAAGTAATCGTTCTTCGAATTATGGCACCGAACATTATAGAATTACGTAGTGCAAAATTTATCTGCCGAACAGTGTCCTTGAATGCATCAAACCTTTGAAAATTTGAGAAACTCGGGGTTAAATGGGTTCCCAAACGTGTCTTAGCATTGATCGTTGCAGTTGATCGAACGAAATTGGCGAATCAACGAGGGTCCAAGCTCTGTTGTGCAATCTTAAAACAGAGCAAGGTCAGAGGAGAATCAAATGTGAAGTTACTAGAGATGAGAAAAATTTTGCTTGTGTGAGGTTACATTACGTTTTTTTTTTGAGGAAGATGAGAGCTCGTAATCTTAAAGGCAAGGTAGAGAATCAAATGTGCTTGAGAAAAATTTTGCTTAGATTACGCTATGTGAGAGATGAGAAAAAAATTTGCTTGCGCTAACGTTAGAGAGAATATAGAGAAGTACGAGGTAACGCAAGTGAGAACTTGAATAGATAGTTTACTCGCCACCCGTAGGAATCAAGAGCAATACTCACCACCCGTAAGTAGTCAACCTAAGAGGTAAGAACGAAAGAAGAAAAATTTTCTTGTTCTCAAGCCAAAGGCTCAAATAAGTTATGAATCAATTAAGTCTTGTTTTTTAATTCATCATGGTATGCTTAAATAACTGAGCATGGAACAAGCCTCCAGCATGGGTAATTACTAAGATTCATTGGAAAGACAAAACTAGTTTTACTAAAAAAACAACTACAATTAACGACTTTGGAAACTTAAACGACATTTACTATAAATATAGTTGGCCGTAGGTCTCCGAGTTTTACTAGTTTCAAAGTAGCTGAATTAATGGCCTCCAATGAATGATCCGGCATCAGACACTTTTGCGGTGTGTAAAACTCGCACATGAGTTTTACTTTGTCTTCATCTTCATGGTAGGGAGAAAGATCCGCGAAATTGAGCTTTGCCGAACCTTAGCAAATGAACTTGATTCCAACGAATTTCTCGGACGGCCTCTCCAACGAACTAGATAATACATTAGTTTCATACTAACAAATATCTTAATGGCATGTTGACAAGATGAAAATATATCAAACGTATTTTGAGAATTGATGAACACTTTGAGAGAGAGCGCTTCGGGGCATATGAAATGAAAGTGGTAGGTAACGTCTCGGGCCGCTATAATCATTCCTTCTTCATTTATAACTTCAGCATTTGCCTCGACACATTTATATGGAGATTCACCGTCTATAATATCATAGTTACTTGATGGCATCTGGATGGCGAGCATCTCTCCTTCTTCAATTTGTTCTACAATCTCATCTTGCTCCTTGGATTCAGACTCTACATGGTATTGATCTTGTTGAGTCTCTTGAAGTTCTGAATCATTCTTCTCGATATCTTGAATGGCGATAACCTAATGGTTAAGACATTCCACTTGTAGATGGTCATAGCCGTAGCATGTCAAAATAGCCGTAGCACTTGAAGTACTTACTATCTTCACCATTTCATTCTTTTTTGAGCTCTTTAATGAACTCAGGGGGCTTTTCCTTTTCTTTCTCTTGTTTTTGAGAAATTCTTGGCTTGATTAAAAGAAGAGCTGTCGAAGAAGTACACACCTTTAGTTGACGGGCTTGGTCGAATATCTTTTGCCACCCCTTGGTCGTTTTTCTAGGAGAGTGAGGACCATTTTCATTTGTTGAAGTTCAAAGCATAGCAAAGACTCCCGGTGTTGCTGCACTTGGCTCCTAAAATCATCTACCTCCACGTCCCGTAGGTCTCTTTCTCGAGCCGTAAAAGACTCAACACTTGGTCCACGTCGATGACGACCATCCAGTGAACCTTGCTTCGATACCAATTTGACGCATATTAATTGAACATGTACCAAAATTCCAAGGACCACGTTGAATATTTTTATATAATTCAGGGATTAAATTGAACATGCACCAAAAATCCATGAATCACATTAAACAAATTAAAAATTCATGCACCACATTGAACACTATGATAAAGTTCAGGAACTATATTGAATAAATTAAAAGTTCATAAACTATATTACATATTAAATCAAAATTCGGAAACTTTTTGTGTGATTCTCCCTTATGTATTCCTTACTTCTCTCTCTCTATTCTCTGATTTCTCCTCCTCCTCTTCTTCCTCATTCTACTTTTCGCTTGTCTTTTTCTGTTTTTTAAGTTTTTCTCAGTAATAGTTATCATTATTGCTGTTGTCCAAGGTAAGACAGAACCCTCGGTCATCCTACCAATTTCTGCATTTGTCACCTCCTAGAGAAACAGTGCGTGTTGTTCTTCTCCATGGCCTTCACGCTGGTTTCGTCCCTCTCGAATTCTCGAAATATTTATTATTATTCATCAAATGTCGCAGCTCGTTTCAATTTCAGAATTCGGGATGAACTCGTCTCCCTGGTGATTTCTCTTCAGGTTCTTGCTTCTGCTATTTCGTGCCAACGGAGTCCAATCACAACCGGTACGTGGAAGACGGCGACAAAGCAATCGGCAAAATCGATCGCGATGAAAGGAACACCGACAGAGATTTCGCCTTCCGAGCCATTATGTTTTTGTACAGGTCAAGTTTAAGGACAAGAAAGGATTTTCATTTAATTTTGCAGATTTCTTTTTATTTTCGTTTATTTATTTGCCGTTTATTCTATCAGGTTGCTAAATTATTTTTCGGCCAATTGAGTCTTTTAATCGTGTTCTTTGTTCCTATCGATTGTAGATTTCTATATGTGTTTGCGCGCCCGCAATAGCCCGTTGATTCGACCTGAAATGCTTATGCGCAACAAAACTGCTCATAAAAGGAAATCCCTAAGAAAGGAGGAGAGAAATGGAGAGCAGGAACCATTGGGCCACCGCTCGACCATCGGCATGGGTTGCTAGCCCTCGCTTATGCTCGACCCAAGGTCCGGCGAACCTCCTTATGCTCGGGTAAGAGGCGAGCATTGCCTCCGTGAGCCTTGCATCTGGGGGCAAAAGTCGCACCTCGCCACCATCGGGGAGGGCCGCATGGTGGCGAGATGGTGACCCTCCCACGGTTACCCAGAGAGGGTTTTCGGTGGCGCGGCCGCTTATGCCTCACCCCCGCTCCCCCTCTCTCTCTCTCTCTCTGGCGGCGGCGACGGCCACCCCTCATCCAAGCACGGCGAGGGTCATTGGACCTCAGCCCAAGCCCACCGGATCCGACAACTGTCGCTATTAATTGGGCCGACGGCCCAATCGCCCCCTCTTCTCTCTCTCTCTATTTTTTGTGATTCTCCGTCTAAATTTTCGGTTCAAGTAGTGCTTACGTGCATTTTAAACGGCCTTTTCATACTCAAAGAGGAATATCGGAAAAAAGAGCAACGTTATCCAAAGACTCAATTGATCTAAACAAAATCTAGAAATTTAATTTCACATTCAAAGTCTGTTAAGAAATTGTCACTAAACCATTTTTGTCGTAGATGAGCTTCAGAGTTCGGGAATATCCTTGACCTATAAAGATAAACAAATTATCTGCGCCTATAGTTCGTCGTCATCGTCGTCGTCGTTTTTTTTATGTAGTTTGTTGTCGAGTTGCACAAAAGAAGTGAAAAATCAACGGACCCGACCGCCAGTCGCTCATCTTGGCTCGTGGCATTACGCGAGCCCAATTCTTCCTAGGGGTGAGCAAGTTGGACCGACCAAATCGGAATCGGATCGGA